ATTTTATTTTCTGATTTTTTTTGCCAATATGTAAGACGGAGCATTTATTTGTTGAGATTTGAAGTTGCCATTTGTTTGACCATTCAGATACATAGTCAAGATCTTTTTGTAAGGTAGCAGTATTGTCTGTGGTATTGAACAGCTTTACATCATCAGCGAAGAGAACGCAATTGCTCTTAATATGATCACAGAGGTCGTTTATGTAGAGTATGAAGAGAGTTGGTCCTAGAACACTGCCTTGGGGGACACCACTATTGACAGGTACTGGATTTGATAGGACGCTCCCGATTTTGACCATTTGTTGTCTGTTTGACAGGAATGCTTCTATCCAGTTATTCAGTTGTCCAGAGATACCATAGGATTTTATTTTTAGGAGTAGTTTGTCGTGTACCACTGAATCAAAGGCTTTGCAGAAGTCTATGTAGATTGTGTCAATTGCTTTGCCCTGGTCGAGTTGTGTCGTCCATATGTTTTTGCAGTGTAAGAGTTGCAGATTACAGGATAGTTTTTTTCTGAAACCAAATTGTTTATTGGAGAGTAGGTTGTTTGACTCTAAGTGGAGGATGATGGATTGGTTAATAATTGATTCCATGACTTTACAGGTGACGCAGCATAAGGAGATTGGCCTGTAATTTTCGACTAGGCTTGGGTCTCCCTTTTTGAAGATGGGGATGACTGTGGCTTGTGACCATAGGTTAGGCAAGGAGCTGGTCCTGAAAGATTTTTCAAAGATTATGCTTAGAGGTTTGGCTATGGCAGTGGATAGCTTTCTTAAGAAGTAGGCACATATTCCATCCGGTCCAATAGATAGAGATGGTTTTAGATTGCGTAGTGATTTTTCGACATTGTCTTCTGTGAAATCGATATGTATTAGATCATTGTTGTTATCAGTGGTACGGCTAGGAAATACTGGGCATGATCCATTGCTGTTTACAAATACTGAGCCGAAGAATGTGTTAAAGATGTTGGCTTTAATGGTGTCGTCGTTGCAGTCTTTACCATCAGGTCCTATCAAGGGAGGGATGGACCTTGAGTCTTTTAGTTTGTTGTTTACAAAATTGTAAAAAGCTCGGGTGGAATTGGTGCTTAGAAGGTTTTCCTCTTGTTTAATGTGATAATTGGTGCATTCAGTCTTTATCTGGTGGCATAAATTTTTGTATCGGTTTTTGAAATTGGCAACGTGACCAGATTTGTTTTTCCGCCAGAGTGATCTCTTTTTGGATTGAAGTTTCCTTATTGATATGGGTAATCTGCTTTTTTGTTTTGTTTTGGGAGTTGTTGTTGGAACATATAGTTTGATGACTCTTTTGACTTCAAGTAAAAATATGTTATAATGGTCTTCAACGGTATTGCATCCAGTGAATAGAGTTTGCCAATCAAGGGATGAGAGATCGTTGTCTATAAGATCATAGTTGCCTTTTTTGAAGTTACAATAGGGGATTACATCATTGTGGTGATTTTTGTGTGGATGTATGTTGAGACAAAAGTCGATCATATTGTGGTCACTACTGGAAAAGGGTTCTTTAGTTTGTATTCCGTAAATTAGGTTCAAACTGTTGCAGAAGATGAGATCGAGGCAGTTGTTTAGTCTAGTGTTGTTAATTACTAGTTGTTCCAGTCCCAGATTTGTAATAGCATTGTAGAAGGTTGTGTGTATGATTTCAGTTGTACAATCATTTAGGGTCCAGTTAATATGAGGTAGATTGAAATCACCAAGAAAGATAAAAGGGTATGGGCAGGATGCAGCCCATGTTAGTAATGTATTTAGCTTGTTTACATGTTCGATGTCATAATCAGGTGCTCTGTAACATAGTAAGAATCGAATTGTGATATTTGAGGATAGTTCACAGATGATGGTTTCAGGAAGAGCAAGCTCCTGGGTAACTTGGATATTTTTTAGATGTAAGGATTTTTTATAGAATATAGCAACACCACCTCCTCGACGATTTTCACGATCTGATCTGTAAACATGATAGTCTCTTACTGTGGTAATGGAGTCGGGGAGATATGCATTGAGCCATGTTTCACAGACAAATATAATGTCGAAGTTAGCCATATTTAGGAGGAAGAGAAATTCAGGTATTTTATTCACGAGGCTTCTTGCATTGAGTAGTTTGCATTTAAGGCCGGCAGTAGTTGGAATTGAGGTAGTTGGGGGCGTGCGTGCCTAGTCTTGGGTGATGGTGGATGGGTTGAGGTAGGGTTGTGGTTGAGGGTAAAAGCTGAGTATTGGGTTGCGTGGCTTACTTTTGATACAGTCAGCATGGTAGTCAATGTACAGGTCCTTCTCTCCATTGTCTAGACGGTTTTTGAGTTCGATGCGGAGTACACGGGAGCGGGCACGTTGCTGTATGGTTAGGTCAGGGCGGCATGATAGTCTACCCAACTCACCAGTGTTGGCAGTGGTGGGCTGCAACCGGTTTAACCATCGGTTTGGTGAGCATATGCACCCAGGGGTAGGATTCTACTGGTTCGAACCGGTTCGGCCGAACCCCTTGCTCCGAAGATCAGCCCACCCACCCCTGCTCTTTCCTGTCCTCTACTTCCCTTTTTAAGAGCACAGGTGATTCACCCAGCAGAGCAGTTTGGCGCGCCTCAACTGCTTTCTTCGCAGGGACTGCTGTAGAAGGTAAGTAGTAGAGCCGTTTGTAATGCGGAGCGTACGTGCAAAGCGTACAATCACCAAACCGGTTGTTATCCCAGTGGAATCCCACCCCTGCAACGCAGAGCTGAAAATGGAGCATTTAGAAGCTCAGCTGCTTACCTTCCAAATCAAGCAACCGTAAGTAGAACAGCGAGGAGGGGAGAAATCAACTGTGCCGGGCGATTGAGATGAGCTACAACAGTGGCCCCCAACCTTTTTTGTGCCGTGGCCCAGTACCGGCATCACAAAATGATCTGCGGCCCAGTACCGGCATCAGCACGCATGGGAAGGCGAGCCAAGCGACCGGCCAGCCAGCCGTCCCCCGCTTCTCCCCGCCACCTTCAACTCCTCCTTTGTACCTTTGTCGATGGGCTTCGGGACAGCTTCGAGACGGTCACTCAGCTCGCCTTGCCTTGGGTGCTGAAAGAATCCTCGCGCCTTAGTTTTGTTCGAAGCCGCCCCCCCCCCCTCGATGGAACTAAGGCACGAGGATTCCTTCAGGACCCAAATGCCGCTTTCCAACCGGAAAAGCTCACCAGAAGCACTTTCTCATCAAAACAAGATGGCGGCGCCCAGCAAACCGTGAGCCCGGTAGAAAATGTTCCACGGACCGGTACTGGTCCACGGCCCGGTGGTTGGGGACCCCTGAGCTACAAAGCAGGAAATAAAGGACAGGATAGGGCAGGGGTGGGGCCAGCTAATCGTTGGAACAACCGGTTCACCTGAACCAGTGCGAACCAACATCAACCCACCACTGAACATTGGGAAGGCAGGGTATCTTCAGAATCAGACAACTCCCCACGGCCAACTCCCCAAGGTCAACTCTCCACAGTCAACTCACCGTGGCCAATTCGCTGTAGGATAATTTGACATGGCTAACTCACTACGGGACAACTCGCTGTGGGACAAATTCAATGATTCAATTTAATTATTTTCTTATCGTTCCTTGAAAGATTTATCCTGCAAACTTTTTTTTAACAGTTTATTTATACATTTTCACTTAACATACATAAGTGCTTTGTGGACAGTAGTCTGGGTCAATTTGCTTACTTAATAATACTTTTCCCGTTCCTAATTTCTACCTCTACTATCCAACCATTTATGAAACAAATCCTGTATTCGAAAATACTCTGTACCTTCTTTTTCTTTTATCTTTAATGTCAGTCTATCCATTTCTGCACAATCTAATTTTTTTTAATTACATCTTCTCTCGGTGTTTCCTCATTTTTCCAGTATTGTGCAAATACAATCCTTGTTGCTGTCAAAACATGCAGTCTTAAATACAAATACTTTTCTGGTATCATACCTAACAAAAATATTTCTGCCTTACAACTATACCTGTGATGGCGAAACTATGGCACACGTGCCACAGGTGGCACACAGAGCCATTTGTGCCGACACACGAGCCGCAGGCAAACTTACCTCACTGCGCATGCGCGCACCTCACAGCTGATTTTCAGCTGGTTTGGGGTCTTTTTTTGGCCTCCCAGAGGCTTGAAAAAGCCTCTGCAGGCTTTGCAGGATGAATAATAGGCCCATTTCATCACTTCCTGTAATACCGGAAGTGACAAAATAGGCCTATTATTTGGCCTGCAAAGGCTTTTTTTCAAGCCTCTGGGAGGCTGAAAAAGGCCTCAAACCAGCTGAAAATCAGCTGTGAGGTGCAGTGCAGGTAAGGGGTGGTGGTGGGGAATTGCACGTGCATGAACAGGGGGTGTGGGGGTGTGCGCATTGCCTTCTGGGTGCTGGCACGCGAGCACGCGTGCCCACAATTTTTAGCACAGGAGCCCAAAAAGGTTAGCCACCACTGACCTATATGCAGCTTCAACCTTTGTTTTCTAACCATGTATGTATTGTTGTCCATGTGATAGTACGTGCCCAGTGTCTTGTTGCATTTCCAGCATTTGGTGGACATGTTTTTAAACAACTTTCCTAATCTCACTGGTGGTAAGTGCCACCTATAGAACATTTTGTAGAAGTTTTCTATATAGGTAGTTGCCATTGTCAACTTACAGTGTCAACTCGAAAATATTTCTCTGGCCTTTTAGAGTTGCCAGCAGAAAGGAAGTGGGGGAAGTAGTGCATTCCTTAAATGCTTCAGATAATAGCTAGGCAGCCGAAGCTGTTGGCACACAAGATTATTACTGGAGAGCATGATTGATGACTCTTGGCTATGGATGTGTCCCATTGGAGAATATAGATCCAGGGGGTGGGGGAAGACCAGGGTGAAATGAATGATGTGTCTCAGAATCTGCCACACCCAGGAAGCACCTGCGTGTTCACTCCTAATAAATCTTCTTTAAACTCTGAGAGATGTGGGTTAGAGACTCATAATTTAAATGGGGGTAGATGCCGGAGCCCTACGGTTTCTTTCAAACTTCTTATCATCTTAATTGCTCTTATCATCTTAGTCTGCACTGTTTCTAATTTCCTACTATTATTTCTATTGAATTTCACAACCGCATTTTACCGTTTAAAGCATGATGATTTCAATCCCAAGCTGTGTTTCTCAACATTAACGCAAAATAATATAAAAGGAAGCAGTCTCACAGACCGATGCAAATTCGCCAAATGAGGTTTCAATTTCAAACCCTTCCCAGCCAAAGGGAGGCTGTAATTTTCACACAATAGTGATAATAAAACCTTCCATTGCCAGATGGTTCTGACAAGCTCCAACGTGCTCTACAGGTTTTCTCTGAAAATCACCCCAATTGTACAAAACAGCCAAACCACACAATATATCCTTCGGCAATTGTGTGTTCCTCCCAGGTGGAATGGCCTTAAATGTGCAAGGTCTTTTTCACTGGTGAGAAGTTGCGATCGTGTCAGCACAGCTGCCTCTTCATACGAGCCCTGGGAGCCTTCGCCACAATGAAACATTTGATACCTCTGTCGCTGCTTATAATCTTTTCCACGGAAAGAGGTGAGTTTGGTCCCCAAGAGATTACTTAGATTAAAGAAACAATGAGAGGGCCTTGAAAATGAACTCAGAAAATGCTCTAGCGCAGGAGTATCAAACTCAATTTCATTGAAGGCCACATCAAGGTTGTGTTTGACCAGCTTGATGTCACTTGTGTCGGGGGCACCTGTGGTGGCCAAGGCAGGACTTCCTTCGGACCAGTGGTGGGATTCAATTTCTTTTACTACCGGTTCTGTGGGCGTGGCTTGGTGGGTGTGGCAGGGGAAGGATACTGCAAAATCCCCATTTCCACCCCACTCCTGGGAAAAGGTTACTGCAAAATCCTATTCCCTCCCCACCCCACTAACCTGCTTTCCAGCTCTGTTCTCCTGTGCAAGGCAACAAAAGGAGACCCAGCCAATCAGCTGGGGTTTGGGAGGCGGAGAAGAGATGGGGGCAGGGCTAGTCAGAGATGGGATTTGCCGGATCTCCAAACCACTCAAAATTTTCGCTACTGGTTCTCCAGAACTGGTCAGAACCTGCTGAATACCACCTCTGCGTCAGGCCCTCCTTCACTCTCATTATAATCTCGTCCCTCTTTCCTTCCATTATACTCTCCTCCCTCCCTCCCTCCCTCCCTCCCTCCCTTCCTTCCTTCCTTCCTCCCTCCCTCCCTCCCTTCCCTTCTCTTCCCTTCTCTTCCCTTCATTCTCCTTTCTTCTTCCTTCCCCTCTTTCCTTCCTTTTCCTACCTTGCTCTCTTCCCATCATTCCTTTGTCTTTCTTCTTTCTCTTTCTCCTTTCCTGTCCCTTCTTGGATGCTCAAATGCGAAAGGGGAAACATTTCTACTTTCGTTTCGTTTTAGTTTCTTTTGCTAGCCCTCTGCCAGTGAAAACAGAGCTTGGGGGGGGCTGCATGTGGCCCTCCAGGCCCCGTTTTCAGCAGCAACAGCCTCCTGCATCCCTCTGCCAGTGAGGAGGGCTGCAGGAGTCCATTATGGCCCAAAGCAGCCCTCCCCATCTCACTTTTTGCTGGCAGAGGCATCGCAGGCTGGTCGTTTCCTGTTTCCAGGGCGGTGCTGGCCAGATCTAAACACCTGGAGTTTGATGCCCCTACTCTAGCAGAACTTGGAGAACCTTAAGAACTTCAACATAACACTTGAAGGAATGTCTATGGAGATTCTCAATCTCCAGATCATGGTTGTCCCAAAATGCTTTTTCCAAGAGGCAACTGGACTTTCTTGGGGTTTTTTTCCCCCCTCCCTTTGAAAACATTTCACTTCTCATTCAAGAAGCTTCTTCAGTTCTAAACGGAAGAAGCTGAAGAACCGAAGAAGCTCCTTAGACGAGAAGCAAAAATGTTTGCAAAGGAAAGATCTGGTGGCCTAGAGGTGGAGCTCTTGCCTCGCAATCAGGAGGCTGTGAGTTCAATCCTAGATAGAGGCTAATATTTGGAGTAGGCTGGCCTGTGCTCGAGCAGGGGGTTGGACTAGATGACCTCCAAGGTCCCTTCCAACTCTTGTTATTCTATGATACTCTATGAAAAAAAAACCCAAGAAAGTCCAGTTCCTTTTGGAAAAACCAACTTTGAGATGCTTGATGGAGTGCTAAAGGAAAAGATGCAATGCCACAAATAGATTTTGGGTCACATTAAGTCTTTTGTCTTTTGCAATGCCCATACAGTGGGTTGTTAGCTCCAGAAATATACTACTGGTGTATGTATCTGTTCAGTCATTCTGAAGCTTCTGAACTGTTTCCAACACAGAATCAGGCAAGGGAAGCTGGGTGACATAATGTTGGCTACCTCTAGAGTTCTCCAGGCCAACATGTCTTTCCTCCTTGAAATTCTCTCACTGGTGACATTGCAATTGAGCTTAAGGTGGTTTTGTCCTTGTTGAGAAGCTGGATATCAGGGTGTTAATGTAGAGCCCTCTCACATGTTTAGGTGTTCCAGAGAATGACTCTTACTTCTTCTCATTGTACAGTCCGATTCCAGTATTTTCCCTTGAGATT